GGGGGAGGGAACGGCAAAGAGGGGAAGGAGATTCCGGGTTTTTGAAGAAAAAGCGAGAGCAAGCCTGCTAAGGTTTTCTCTTCAGAAATGTGAAACATTTTGCAGAGAAGCTACAGAAAAAAAGGAAGAAAAATAGAAAAAAAATGAAATAATGCAACATAAAGGAAGAAAAATGGAAAAGAGGATCTCTCTAAAGGCATGACTCAAGTTTCCTTATTTTCAATAGATGGGGAAGATTTCGGCTCGCCGCCGAAATGCGAGGCGCTACGCTGCGCCTCGCATTCGACTCTCATTGCGAACAGCCGAACGGAATCGTTGACCCGATTTTGGCCTGGATCGTGCCAAAGTCGGATCAACGATTCCGTTCGGCCTGTGAGATAGACGTCTAGAAGGCAACCACGCATATTGCACTCCAGCGCAGAAATGGCTCGACAAAGACGAAGACAGCTTCAGTAGCTTCATTTTCCTCGTCTGGTGCGGGCTGTTGTCTGGCACCCCCCCCTCCATTTGTTGCGCTCTCGCCTCATACTCTCCTCTCCGCGCTCAGTCTCTCATTGCCTTAGCACAGCCGATTACGAAGGTGAGTGAGCCCTTAACCTAAGCGTTTTCGACGAAGATTTTCCTTTTTTCTTCCACTGCCGGCCCACTTCATACCAACAGTGCCACATTGGTGCACAAGAACCACGCTAGTCTGAAGCGGGTCAATTCTATGTTGCGACAAGTACCAACGGGGGGGGGTCGTATTTTGTTCAATTTGTAGGTGGGGGGGGTCGTATGGTCGTTTCGATGTAGTCGTGAAGGAGCGGGAAAAATTTTGCTCCTCCCCCTTTGCTCAACGGCTGTTTTGGAGGGTTCTCAGAATTTAATTCTATAAAAACAGCGACTAGGGGGGTCGTGAAATTTGTGATCGGAAGGGGAGTCATAAAAATTTCCGAAAAGTTCCAACGGTAGTAGGACCCACTGATCTGAAGCTTGAGCATGTCTCTGAATACGGTTTGGCCCGCACAGTAACTTGTGGGGTCAGCTAAATTACGAGTCAGGCTTTTCATTGTTCCTGCCAAGCCTGGTACTAATTAAATGCGCCAGAGAGATGAAAGGAATGATTGGGGTGGGCGAGATTTGGTCCTAGCTTTGACCCTGAAGCGAGCGCAAGGTAAGTAACCTACCACTACGCTCCCTCCATCATAAACCGAGAAATAGAGCCAAACATACAAAGAAGCTCAGTTCTGTAAGAGAGCACCTCCTTTGCGAATGCTTTGAACAGACGAAGTCAATTTCAGCTCAACGGCTCGTACGACAAGCAGCGACGAAGGCGAGGAAGTTGGTCGAATCGTCGCCGGTCCAGGTACAGCCTACTCTATTTCTTAACTGGCTGTCTTCTTCAGCTTTTCTAGTCGAATGCTGCGAATCCTTCCCTGCGTTCATTCTCTCCTCAGGCGTTTTCCACCTTATCCTTTCCCGCTACACGCAAGTTTCCGCCCTCTTATATTGCTTTGTTTTCAGTGCGTTTTTTTTTTCTTTCCCCGAATCCATTTTGTTGTTTTTTTTTCCTCATATTGTGTTGTCTTTTGAAGCTTTTTTGCTTTTGTCATTTTCATTCGAACGTACCCATTCGTTTGTTCCTTGCCCGAAACGCTAAAGTCAGACGTAGTGAACGAGTGTCCAAAAATGAATTATCTGCCACCTTTCTGAAAGAAGTGCCAAGCTGGGCAGGCGAAGCGTGCGCGGCGCGTGTGGCGAGCAAGTTTGATTAGTGCCTTCTTGAAATTTTAGAGAAGGGAAAATGGCAAAATATTCGGTTTCTGGTTTCGAAGGGGAGTTTTTGGTTCTCAGTAATTCACCCTGATGAAGGAGTTCATTTTCAATTCTCCTTAAAGCCTTGAGATATCACAAATGTTGAAACACAAGTGTGAAACACAGTCATGTAACAAGCAAACCTTTATAGTATGAAAACTGGGGGGGGGTACCAATGGAATGTGTCAAAAACGTGCAGCTGGAAGTCCTGAAAAGCTCGTTTCTCAATAACGAATGCTTTACTACGGAATTTTGCCATGTAAAATATGCGAGGTACTAGAGCCTCGCGTTGATCAAATTGCAACAAAACCCGTGCGAAATTTCTCCGCTCACATTTCCTACAGAAATGTCAACAAAGCCCACACTTCAACCTTTTTTCGGAATTTCTATGAAATTTCTAAAAATTGAAAGCTTATCACAGAATATATCCCCATGTTTTGACGTTCTAAGACTGTTTAGAATACAGCACGACCTTCCCCGCAACACAGTTTTGACTACGCTGGTCTGTGTCTTTAGGTCACAACGCGGCCGTTCTTTTTTCGGCAGCGCATGCGCGCGACATTGTGATCCGGGACACGCTATTTTCCCCTCAACTCTCATCGGCGCACATGCTGATCGTCCGCGCAGTGTCGGGTGATTCCTGGGCAACGCAGATATGTGGAGATAGCATGCGCAAGGATGAGAGGGAAGAGAACGAAGGTGCTGTCTCCACGTATCTGAGTCTCCACCGATTCCCACTCATGAGTGATAGCCTAATCATAGTGCCGCGCAACTTTCAGCGCGGGTTACGTTAAAAGGTTCCCTTTGCCGCAACGTAGCCTACTCATAAGTATGCTTGCAACCCAACGCAACCTGGTTTCAATCTCCAGTTGGACGTCTGACTTGACGTCTTTGGCGTCAAGGAACACCACGTGAGGGTGCAAGTGTGTGCTTTCAGTGATGAACGTGATGATGATGGCACTGCCGTCGATGACGCAGCACATGCGACGATTCGAGCGACATCGTGAAGCGCTCGAAGCTGCAGGTGACGACGACGATGAGTCGGCGGTG